AAAAAAAAAAAAAAAGAAAAAGAAAATAAGCACATGAAAAAATGTTCATCATAAGTCACTGGGGAAATGTTTATTTGAGTTATGACTGCAATACCACTGTAATCTCATAGAATGGCTAACATTAGAAAGACAGTGTATTAGCAGGGATATGGGATAACTGACTCTCACAAGGTGCTGGTGGAAATGTACAGTCATTTTAAAGCTAGCTTACAGTATCTATACATTTAAACATATACTCACTGTAAACCCTGAAATCCCGATCCTAAGCATATATTGAAAGAGAAATACAGTATGTACAAAAGAAGCCTTGTGAAGCCTTGCATGCAATCCTCACAGCAGCTCAGATCCTACAGTTCAAAGCTAGAAAGAGCCCAGTGTTAATCAGCTGGTAAGTAGATTAACAAACTGTGGTGTATTTATGCAATACTGCCCAGCAATTTCAGAAAGAACTTGTGATACACTCAACAACACACGTGAATCTCAAAAGCATTACTCTAAACAGAAGACACCCACCACAGCACATCTGCAATACCATCCATTTATACAGGAAAAGGCAAACCACAGTGGTGGAAAGCAGCTCAGCTGCTGCCAGAGGCGGAGGCCGGGACTTTCTAGGGTGACAAAATGGTCCTATTCTGAGGCTATAGTGTGGTTACAACTGTACACATTTGGCAAACTTTCCAATTGCACATTTATAAAAGTAAACATAAAAGTGAGAACAGAGATTTGTCATGTCTCAGTACCACACTGATTTTTAAGGAAACTGGCAAAAGATATCCTTTCTGGATGAGAGCTGATAAAGAAGTAAGGCAGCATTTTACCTTCCCAGTCCTCCATGTAAGGGGCTTCCTCGGCTTCCTTCTCTGGAGTAGAAGTGTCAATGAACTTGCCTTCTTTCATGACTCTGGTGATTTCTCGGAGCTGATGCAATAATCGTTTCTCTTGGTCAGATGTCACAGTCTGTGCTCTGCTGGGAAACATCAGACAATCCAGCCATTTGGTGGTCAGCACTCCTAAGCAATGGAAGAAACTTCACCATGACCTGTTTGGATCCTCAAAGAGGAGGTCTAACAGCAGGTGATTATTCTAGAATTGATTCTGGAATGTCATGGCTGGCACCAGAGATGTTAGTTCCATGTTGTGATCTTATAAACAGGGAATCTAATCTCCAGAGTACTTCAGGTGACTGCTTGAGTCCATGGTGTGTTGACATGGAAACAAGATCCCTGTGGTCTCAGCTGTACACCTCACCAGTCTGAGTCCCCAGCCTCCTGGTATTTCCCTCGAACTCATACATTATTCCCTTTACTCTGAGACATTTTCTCTGAAGCAAGGATGTCAAAGAAAAATAGGCCATTAGTCCCAACCACAGAAAAATACCGGACTGGAATCAGAAGGCTTATTCTCAGAGGTACATAACTCAGAACACTCAATCATGTAGATAGAGAAATGAAGAACTGAGATCCACAAACTGGAATTTACACATGGAGATTACAGTTCGTGCCTTTTCTTTTTCCCTCTCGCCTTTCCCACTCCCTCTCCTCTTCTTTGTTTTAAGACTCCAGTAAGCCAACACTCTACCAATGAGCCCCACCACAGCACTCAATTTCGACAGTTTAGAAAACTTCATCTGACTGCCAACCAGCAGTGGTTCTGAGCAAATACCCGTGAGCACAGCACACGACTTGAGGAGAATGACACACCTGAGAGGAAAACACTGCATCACACAGAAAGGGGTCCTGGACAGACAACAGAAACCTGCCTTGAGGCCAGTTCGTCTGGGAGGAGTTAAGAGAACTGCTCATTCTCTCCTTAAAGCCCAAAGCACCCAAGTCAGCAGAGCCTCAGGAGGAAAGCCATGCACCAGTTACTCTATCTACTCAGTGTGGTCTACATCGCGCTCCTCTCAGTGTTCAGCCTAACAAACTTCACCTAACAGGAAAAACGGGCTTCTCCTTCCAACATTAAGATTGTAACTGAGGAAAAGGAGGGTGTGCAGCTTCCACCGTCCTCACTGGGAAACAAACAAAACCAGCTCAGATCTCCAACTCCCTCTAAATGAAAAGGACCCATTTTGTGGGAGAATTCAGGGGCAGAATAGGACAACCTCTGGCTGCTTTTATAAAGCTCTAGCTAGCAGTTTTTACAGTCCATTTCTCTAACTGTACATGGAATATTCTGACACTAAATGAAACAAAATTGAACCTCTACTTCCTAACTCATGGAAAATGGAAACCTTTAACTAAAATACAACAGATAAAATTCCAAACTAAAACATCCTTTTAAGTTTGAAAACGTGTGTCTATGCTGCCCATTAAACACAAAGTGCAGGATATACATTATCACATCTTCTGGATTTACTACAACAAACATTTTTATGGAATTCTTACTGTCTCAGCCTGCCTTGAAACTCCTGAAGGGTAGTCAGACATGTTCACAACACATGACAACATGGCCACGTGTCCGTCTGGCTGCTTCTCATTTCCTCACCATTTGTTCTCTTCTACCTCTCTGAAGTGTGGTCTCCACACTATCATTTTCCAAAACTTACAGAAATCATCAGTGATTGTTTTACTCCCAAGTCTAGGGGTCTTCATCTTTAGTTTGCTCTTTTTGATTCTTCTTCTGGAGAGCACCCTTCGGACACCTCCTGCTTTAGCCAGGAACACCCCTTCACCCTCCCACTTCTCTAACCATTTCTTTTAGTTCTGAAGACTGTGGCCCACTCTCTCCATTTACTAAAGCCTGGCCATCATGAAGGCTCATCTCAGGACTACCATGTCTCTGCTCTTACAGTCACACTCCAGTATCACAGATTAAACTATTATCCTAAAGAGACGATGTCCTAATTTTAGTCTTTACTTTTTACCCAGATATCTGTGTTGCCCAATTATTTCCTCAGCATCTCTACTTGGGGCCTGTCACCACATTAAATTTCAAATTAACCTTAGATACAATCCCTCAAAACCAGGATCCATATGGCCAAGAATCACAAGAAGCTACATGAACAAGCAGAACAGGATAATAGGTTGTCTATGGCAAATTCCAAAATGCTAGAAAAGTATAAGGCCATAGGTGGTAAATAATGTCACCTGACTTTTAACCAAAGGAATCAAGTCCAAATCCAAGAGTTAAACACAGAGAGAACAAAACAGAAAGGAAAGATCAAGACTAACAGAGGAACATGATGGCCTCAAAGATTTGGTGATCTCATCCTTCACCGCGACCTTGATCTTAGCCCCAACAACACATAGTCCTGTTGCTATTATATATTATATGTAGGTATTGCGACAGCATCTCAACCACATTCAAAGTTCAGTCCATGTTTCACTCTCAGAATCCTTATCTTCTTTCTCTTCTTTTGTGTTTTATCTTAGTTAATGCCAGAATCTCCCAGGAAGTACTATAAATCTTCAGGCATCTTTGTATCTTTCTTTTCCTTCCACGTTCTTATCTACTTAGTTTTCTTTGAGGGCACAGTTTCCCTTATGCTCATATTCTAGGTTAGGATAAAGCCATTCATCCCTTTACCTTCCTTTGAGGGTGGTCAAGAGGCAGTCTTCCTATCCCATCTTCCTGTCTGTTGTGATTGGTTCATTGAGAGTTGTGACCTAGGTTGAACCAACTGTACTTTTTCACCAGTTGGATCTTGACCAAGTAAAGCCTGAAGTGGAGATCTCTGATGCTAATTCATCCTGGAGCAGTCCCTTCACTCCTGCTCCCTAAATCCTCAGAACTACTGTGATTGCCCCTCTTCCTAAAAGCTGGAGGTTCGAAACTTTGATACTGTGAAATACCCCATATTCTTCTAAGTTCTGTACCTCCCCCCCACCCCCACCGAATTTCTGCTAATTAGCATTGGATTGCATCCAATAGCCAGAGATTCCCATAATCTGCACCCCTCTTTTCTATTTTCATTGGCCTATCACTTTGTTTATGTTCATTGGTTTTGTTTTTAACAGGATTTGCCTATATAAGCCTGGTTGTCCTAGAACTATCTGAGTAGCAAGAGCTGGTTGGGACCCTGTAGTCTTCCTCCTGCCACCCCCAAGTGCCCAGCACTACCTACTGTCTTTTGATCAAAGGTTCTCAGTAGGCTTCTAGCATATGTCTGCTCTATTCTCAACATAGGAAAACATGACATTTCTTCTGAAAACCTCCACAAAAACAATACATACCAAATGCATCCTATCATTCAGGTACAGTCCTAGTTGTCTAGTTTTCTCCCATTACCCACTTCTCTATCCATTTATCCTATCCTTAGTGCAACCACCCACTCCAGCTCCTAACGCCTCGCTATCCCAAACACTGACTTGCCTTCTCTCACTGGCCATTACTATCGCCTGAAACATTCTTTTTCTGAACTCTGCCAGAGGAAACCCTTCAATCTTATAAAGCTTACTCAAGCTCTCCCCTTCCCATCAGAGCTTAAGACCCCACTCACCTCCACAAAGATAAACAGGTTCTAATCCCTGGAATCTATAAAATTTCCTGTAAAAAGATTGTGGTTGTAAGGGGGACTTGAGGTTTCTAATTAGCTGACATTACAATGGGAGGTTATCCTGGGTTATCTGAAAATGCACCATGTTGTTAAGAGGATCCTTAGAAGTGGGAAAAGGGGGTAGAAGAGGTCAAAGTGATATAATCTGAATAGGTATCAACCCAATATTGATGTCCTTGAAGATAAAGGAAGGAGTCATAAGCCAAGGAGTGTGGGAAACTTCTAGAAGCTGAAAACTTCAAGGAAACAGATTGTGACGCAGGGCCTTGCAAAAGAAATCCTGCCAATACCAATGATTCTCACTCAATATAGGGTTGCTAACCCACAGAACTCAAGCATAATAAGTCTACAATGTTTAAGCCAGTAGATTTGAGTTTGTTTGCTGCAGCAGCACACTTTACTCTCTCAGATACAGTTACTTCTAGAGAAACTACTAACTGCAATTAACAACCATATAGGACAGAACAAACAAAATGAGGTTCCAAAGAAGACGCTACTGTTGCTGGAGACCCTGCTTTAAAATAGTCATTATTGCAGAGTGTGCAGACATCATCAGGGCTCCAACAGTGACATTCTGTTCTCCCAAAGGTTACAGGACATCAGGGAAGACAAGCTTAGATGGCAGTAAGCTGTAGAGAGCACCCGAGAAGCCTAGGAGATGTGAACACAAAGCACCACCCTGGCAGCTTCTGTGGTCAGGTAAGGACTCTCAGAGGAAATGATGTCCTTGTTGAGAGCTCTAGAATCAAAATGAGTATGCAGCAGGGGTGGGAGGTCAATGCCTCAGCAAAGGAAAATGTATTGGCAAGGTCCTAGATGCAAAGGATGTTTTAGGGAAAAAGAGTAGTTATGTGGGTTGGGAGGGTGTAAAGACAGCATGTAAGGAGGTTTGCAAAGCCAGGCCACTCAGGACGAGGCTCTTTGCCAACCAGTGCTTCCCGCAGGCCACACCATGTTTCTAGCAGGTAAGTTATTTCTACCAGATATACTATTCTTGGAGGGAAACCTTGCTAATTCTAAAGGCAGAAATAAGAACATCTCATCTTGGTTCCTTAACCTGTATCTCTGAGTTTGATACTGTGTTTAATTTTTCAGACATAACATAGAGGCCATTGCATGTGTACAGATCTATACCACTGAGGTGAAAGGTGGCTGACAAATTTATGAGTCACATCAAGAACCATTTCCACGTTTCTATTCATACACAGACATATGCAAGGTACAGTTTCAGGATTGACTGTTTTTCAGTTTCAGGCCAACATCTTGCAGTCAGGAGCATACAGTGTATGAATACTACACAAAAGGATAGAGCCTGTAAACAAGCATGTGCTCCTTGTCTTAAATCCTCTCCTTGCCCCACAGAAGTCAAGATATAATTAAAAAAATAAACTAATAGAAAACACTGGAGCATCCACAGATCCTCTGATAATTGTGAAAATTAGACCTGCAGAAGAAAAACGCCAGAGTCAGGCACAGAAGGAAATTTGGTACCCATCTCACTCTGTCCAAGAACCTATTCAAATAGATCAAAAGCCTTATGGAGAGGGTGAAAATAAAAGAGAGCCCATCCAAAGGCTGTAGGGTCTGCCCACCCAGGACTGGGTAGATAATGCTAAGTTCTGAGACTCTGAGCTTGCTAGAGGATAGTAGGCGAAACACTTCAAGATCTAGGCACAAGATTTTGTTTCAAAGATCCAAATAGCAGAGGAAATTCCATAAGAACTGACAAATAGGAACATGTGAAATTAAAAAGCTTTTGTACAGCAAAGGAAACAATCACCAGAGTGAAGAGATGCCTGCAGAAAATGGTAAAGGATCTATACAGACTACACACCAGACAGGGGACTAATATCAAGACTATATAAAGAAAAGAAAATTAAACAACAAAATCTAATCATCCAATCAATAAATAGGCTACTGAACTGAATATGCCGTTCTCCAAAAAAGAAACTCAAATGCCAATAAGTGCTTTAAAAAGTCTTTAACATCCTTAGCCATCAGGGAATATGCTTTCACGGAAGTAGAGTTGCCTTCCAGCTCCTGAGAAGTATTACAGATAACACTTTACATACTTGTTGCTTTGCAGGCTGGATGGGTATGTTCTCAAGTGGTCCACACCTCAGCATCTTGTAAAGAATAAGACATTATAGAAGCAAAGACTGGGTCCCCAGGAACAAAGAGGTGGAGTAACTCTAGCTGCAGTACAGGGACAACTTCCTCTGGCTCTGTACATACAGCACAAAGAAGACAGAAGGTTGTAGGAGTTACAGTACTGAATTCCTGCCAGGCCAAGAGAGAGATGGTACACACTGGACAAGTGATGGATCATTTAATTTGAGCCTGAGTAATAGTGGGTAATGATGAATATCTTCATGTAGTTTCTTAACCCTGGGGTTGCATCTCCCAAGTAAGGGGCTCTAACCATAGATGTTCATCTATGGAGTTCATGACCCTTAGGCTTGCTTGAGAAAGTCAACAGCCCAGACCAAGATACAGATATTTATCTAAGGCATAAGGGTCTATAAAAGTCAGGGTAGTTCTCCACACAGACAGGAAAGCCACAATAGTATATATAGTTACACATACATTTGTATATTAGATAATGTCTATAAAAGCAGTTAGCTCAGAACAGTCTTTAGTAAGTTTAGTCAACCTTTATATACTCACACAGATACAGTCACGTATATATGTGACTTTACAAAACATTTTAAGTTGTAAGTCTAGCTTCTGAACTGCGAAAAGGTCAAAGTTCCTGACGTAGATAGTCAATGTTCCAGTGTTTATCCTCATGTAGAGCACAACAGCATAGGAGATATTACAAGGAAATGCCAGGCCACAAAGCAGCAATTTGAGGATGCTTACTCTTCTTTTTTGTTGTTGTTTTTTGTTTTTGTTTGTTTGTTTATTTTGTTTTGTTTTGTTTTTGAGACAGGGTTTCTTTGCATAGCCCTGGCTGTCCTGGAACTTGCTTTATAGACCAGGCTGGCCTCGAATTCAGAGTTCCGCCTTCTTCTGCCTCCCAAGTGCTGGGATTAAAAGCATGTGGCACCACTGCCCAGCTGCCTACTCTTCTGATATGCAACCAAGGATGGGCAAACTAGATGTCACTGAGCAAAGGAGGAGGCACAGAGCACAAGTACTTGAAAGATGCAAACAGAAGAGGCCAAGGCCTGTTCCTTGCATAAAGACTCCAGAGCTGCACATGAAGGTGTGGGAGAGACTGTTCAATATTCCGCATGAGATTGTTACGGCCCACCGTGAAGTATTCCCTCCTCCCCTGTTAAAAGGCTCAGCTGAGACCGACATAATATCACATTCTGGCTTCTCCTTTCTGGCTTTTTTTTTTTTTTTTTTTTTTTTTTGGTTTTTCTAGACAGGGTTTCTCTGTGTAGTTTTGGTGCCTGTCCTGGATCTTGCTCTGTAGACCAAACTTGCCTCGGACTCACAGAGATCCTCCTGGCATTGCCTCCCGAGTGCTGGAATTAAAGGCATATCCCACCTCACCCGGGGCTGGCTTTTTTTTTTTTTTAATATCTTTGTTTTTTCAATTGTTCCCATTTTCATAAACCTCCTGCACCTACCTTTTCAGATCCTTGGTATTATGGCAGAGCAGAAGTGTTCCTTCCTAAGGATTAGTTTGGCCCTTGACACTGACTTTGCACATCTAATTCTGCACTAGGAGTGAGTCAACACAAAACAAATGCCTAATGTGATGACAGCTGCTATTTTTCCTTAATATTTTATTTTTTATTTTATGTGTATGAGTGTTTGCCTGAATATATGTCTGTAGTGCCCAGGGAGGCAAGAAGAGAACAATGGATCCCCTCCCCTGGAACTGGAGACAATTGTGAGCTGACATGTGAGTGCTGGGAATTGAACCCAGGACCTCTGGAAGAGCAGCCAGTGCTCTTAACCTCTGAGCCATCTTTCTAGCCCCTTGTTGCTGTTATTGTTGTTGTTTTAATTTGGTCTCAGAAAAAAAAAAAACATTCAATAACCAGGTTTTACTTAAAAGTTTACATTAGACAACTAGGGAAAGCTCCTTCTTAAAACTAGGTTATTTGACCCTACAAGATTTACAGATTTCACAAGAATTTGTACCACATTTAATGCTTGAAAACAGTTTCTCAATAATATGAAAATGGAAATGTGTCAATTGAGAAAGAAAACATATATTACACCTAAGCTGACATTTACATAAGACAAAAACATGTAGTCTGTATATCAAAAGCAAAAAGTGTAGCTACTCTAAACATGGAAAACTGAGTCCTATTTGATGAGAACTTACCTCAAGCCAGGCATGGTGACGTATGCCTTTAATTCCAGCACTGGGGAGGCAGAGGCAGGAAGATCTCTGAGTTCAAAGCCAGCCTGGTCTACAAGAGTGAGTTCTAGGACAGCCAGGACTACACAGAGAAACCCTATCTCAAAAACCAAACCAACCAACCAAACAAACAAACAAACAAAAAAGAACCTTTTCCTGAGGAGCCATCACACTGCCTCATTTCTGCCACTCAGGAGGCAAAGGCAGGTGGATCTCTGTGAATTCCAGGCCAACCTAGTCTACAGAGGACAGTCAAGAATACACAAAGAAATCCTGTCTCAAAAGCAAACAAACAAACACAAAAGAAAACTTACCTCTCACCATTAGGTCCCACTCTATTGATTAATTTTTCCATGGCTTCTTCTGTCTCTTTTAGTTTTTCTTGCAGTTGTATAAGCTCAAAGTTGGCTGAAAGACAAGCATCAATCTAAGAACCATTACATGCAATTCCCTAAACCCTTCCAAGAAATGGCTAGCCAGAAAGATCTGTGATAATCCAGGCTTTTTCAGAGACTCAAGAGAATAGACAAAGGCTTCTCTAATACAATCAGCACAGAAAAGGCTTGGCAGTCTGGCCACCAGGATCAACAGGATACATACTAACTTAGGGAATGATAAATAAATCACTCCCCCTCCCACACAGTAATCCAGCAGAGTGCACTAAAGAAAACATCCAACACTGAAAACACACCCTGCAAAGTCACCCCAGAGTAAATGCAGAAGGTAGACAGATGACAGTGTGCAATCCAAACAGTGCTTCTGGGTAAGGCACCAAGCCTAGACAGTACTAGAAAAAAGGATCAGGACTCTGAGGTGAGCCATTTACCTCTACTTATGGTCTGGAAATCCTAAACTATGGTTGAGAGCTCCATGCCCAAAGTTTTCTAACCCTAGTTGTCTAGGATAAAGAACAGATCATGCTAGGGTGTCCCTAGATGCAGTTTTCTCAGACAGGGTCAGTACAATGGACAAACACACACACACACACACACACACACACACACACACACA